TTATGGATGCAGATGATAAATCCAGCTAGGTCTACTCGGCCTCTTCGGATCGTCACGCGTTAAGATTATGGATGCAGATAATAAATCCAGCTAGGTCTACTCGGCCTCTTCGGATCGTCACGCGTTAAGATTATCACGCGGATCGTCACGCGTTAAGATTATGGATGCAGATGATAAATCCAGCTAGGTCTACTCGGCCTCTTCGGATCGTCACGCGTTAAGATTATGGATGCAGATGATAAATCCAGCTAGGTCTACTCGGCTTCTTCGGATCGTCACGCGTTAAGATTATGGCTGCAGATGATAAATCCAGCTACTACTCGGCCTCTTCGGATCGTCAAGATTATGGCTGCAGATGATAAATCCTGCTAGGTCTACTCGGCCTCTTCGGATCGTCACGCGTTAAGATTATGGATGCAGATGATAAATCCAGCTAGGTCTACTCGGCCTCTTCGGATCGTCACGCGTTAAGATTATGGATGCAGATAATAAATCCTGCTAGGTCTACTCGGCCTCTTCGGATCGTCACGCGTTAAGATTATGGATGCAGATGATAAATCAGCTATCTACTCGGCACTCTTCGGATCGTCGCGTTAAGATTATGGATGCAGATGATAAATCCAGCTAGGTCTACTCGGCCTCTTCGGATCGTCACGCGTTAAGATTATGGCTGCAGATGATAAATCCTGCTAGGTCTACTCGGCCTCTTCGGATCGTCACGCGTTAAGATTATGGATGCAGATAAATCAGCTAGGTCTACTCGGCCTCTTCGGATCGTCACGCGTTAAGATTATGCAGATAATAAATCCAGCTAAATCGTCACGCGTTAAGATTATGGCTGCAGATGATAAATCCAGCTAGGTCTACTCGGCCTCGTCACGCGTTAAGATTATGGCTGCTGATCGGGTCTATCGTCTTCGGATCGTCGTTAAGATTATGGCTGCAGATTATAAATCCAGCTAGGCCTACTCGGCCTCTTCGGATCGTCACGCGTTAAGATTATGGATGCAGATTATAAATCCAGCTAGGTCTACTCGGCCTCTTCGGATCGTCACGCGTTAAGATTATGGCTGCAGATTATAAATCCAGCTAGGCCTACTCGGCCTCTTCGGATCGTCACGCGTTAAGATTATGGATGCAGATTATAAATCCAGATCTACTCGGCCTCTTCGGATCGTCATGTTAAGATTTTGGCTGCAGATTATAAATCCAGCTAAACTCGGCCTCTTCGGATCGTCTTAAGCAGATTATAAATCCAGCTAGGTTACTCGGCCTCTTCGGATCGTCACGCGTTAAAGATTATGGCTGCAGATGATAAATCCTGCTAGGTCTATTCGTTATTTTCGGATCATCACGCATTCAGATTTTGGCTGCAGATGATAAATCCTCTTCGGATCGTCTCGCGTTAAAGTTATGCCCTCCAATGATAAATCCTTCTAATTATTTTCGGGCCATCGTGTTTTAAGATTATGGTAGCCTATGAAAAACTCCGATAGGTCTTCTCGTCCTTTTCGTATCGTCTTGGTTTAAGAGAATGGCACTCAATTTAGATCCTGTAGGTCTTAAATTCTCTTAGGATTTTCCCTTAGTGGAGTTCGAATAAATCCGAAGAGAAAACCCCGTCTTGTTTTCACTTGGTTCTGCTTTTGTTTAGTTACTTAAACCGTTTCTTAAAAGCGTACTAGCAGGACAGACAGTGAAAAAACTATATTGACTGCACTACTACGAACAGCTTGTAAGTTATCTCCATGGAGACGCACTTGCTTAGCACTACACCACATTGAACCAAATCAAATTTGTATCTGACATGAACATAAAACAAGCATCACCCCCGCCTATGCGACGGAAAATCGAAATCTATATATTACTACTTTTGGGATACTTGTGCTTACAAAACAAGCCAAGTGCATGGGGACTCAATGTTGAAATTACGATGTTTCATTTGCTGAATGGTGAAGTTTGTTTTTATTATTATTATTATTATTATTTTATTTCGAGACTAAGAGAACCGTAGAGAATTAAAACTATAGTAATCGGAGTAGATGCGAGAGTGGTACTAATGATGGTATTGGAATCCCGAAAGTAGATACTTGTAGTACTAATATTTTCAATGTGACACCAAAACAATGGTAACTGGCGGGAAAACTGGAAGAATTAGATTTCATCAATAAAGCAATTAAAGCAGGGGAAACTGGTTACAAGAACGGTGTTAGGTGATAATGATGGCCGCCGGATGGCGTTTACTGTTATAGTGGAGAAGCTGTTGAAAAGTAATTAGGATACGAAAATAGAATAATGATGAAAGCGAAAATTTTCTTCAAATGAAAAGAAAAAAAAGAGAACAGGGAAGAGGAGATGCAACACACAATAGAGAAAGAAGGAGAGAATAAAAAAAAGAGATAAAAATAGGATGAAGAATTTTTGTTTTTTTTTAAATTGTAAAAAAAAAAAAAAAAAGAAAAGAAAACGAAGAAATGGGCTTAAAACGTAATTAGTATTAAAACTCCTGAGAAATTATCTTCTAAACTGAAATAAGCTTTGAGGGTAAATGAATCTAGTTTCTTTGATTTTAAAATATGCAGCTACCATCTTTATATACATATATAAACAGACATCATCCCGGCAGACACTCATAAACACACACACACACACACACACATACACGTTTAATGTATGTCCTATTTATACGTTATTGTAATAGATGCAAGTTATTTTATCTATAAAATTACCTATGAACAGAACATATATTAAATAATTGTCGGACTTAATCCATTTCAATATATATATATATATATATATATATATATATATATATATATATATATATATATATATATATATATATATATATATATATATATATATATATATATATATATATATAAATAAAAATTGTATAAAAATAATAATATAAATTTTAAACCATTTTGTTTTATGCTTGGAAATGTGATCTGAGGAATCAAGAAAAAAATCACACTCCTGGGGAAATAAAATATAAGGTTTTTTAATTTAACTTATATATATATATATATATATATATATATATATATATATATATATATATGTATGTGTGTGTGTGTGTGTGTGTGTGTGTGTGTGTGTGTGTGTGTGTGTGTGTGTTTAGTGGGTGGGGGTGTATGCACATACGCAAGTACGTCAGTAGGTCTGTAGCCGAATGATAAAAAAGCATTAATTTTAATTAAGAATTGGTTACTTTCCAAATAATCTCTTTCCTTATCAATGCATTTAATACAATGGCGAATCGAATACATTTAATACAATGGCGAATCGCTCACGTAGTTTACTCACTACGCTATGAAAAAATTGCAGATCCAAATTCAACGAATATATCGGGTTTTGTACTTATTCATAATCATTGCGTCATTGACATAATTACTGTTAAACAATTTATGACATTCTAAAGGATTAAGTTTATATATATATATATATATATATATATATATATATATATATATAAAGAGAGAGAGAGAGAGTGAGAAAGAGAGAGAAAGCCTCATCTGGCAATCCACTTACTTCCCGAAATAATCTCCTCAGGATTTGATGAAAAATCCATAAAATTCTCAATATGGATTTAAAAAAGTATTGTATTATTTTATTATTAATTCTTCTCCTCCCATATATATATATATATATATATATATATATATATATATATATATATATATATATATATATATATATATATATATATATATATATATATATATATATATATATATATATATATATATATATATATATATATATATATGTATGTATATATATATATATATATTATGCATTATGTATTTATATATGTATGCGTGTGTGTGTGCGTGTGTGTGTGTGTGTGTGTGTGTGTGTGTGTGTTTCAGTGAATAATAAGATTTTTACGAGAACTTCTGAAATTCTCCAATTTATACATATAACCTTTCAATGGTTGAATGCGTATTATATACAAAATGTGATGGATAGATTGTTGCCATTTTATATTTTTAATTTCGCGCATGGGCAATGTTTTTGTTTTTTTATTTTGCAGATTTATACATATAACCTTTAGGTGGTTGAATGAGTAGGGTCAGATGGGCACCGTCTGTGAGAAAATGAGTACTATGAAACAATTCACTTCGTCGGAAAGTTGGAAACGGTAGACTCTACTGCCTGGCATTTCCGGCGAAAATCTCCAACTTGAACATTTTAGAGTATTTTCTTGTCAGTCTGAAGAGAGTGCAGAGAATTTGGAAAGAGTCTGATGAGTCTAATCGTGATTACGAAGGTATGGTAGCTAGGAAAATTCCCTCTGAACGTTCTGTTATAAAAAAAAAAAAATCCCGAATTTGTAAGTGAGATCCTCCTAATCAACACGGAGGCTTACATCGTGCCTTGAGTGGGGAGTGCTTCTCTGGGTCAAGAGGGTGACTACTGGAATACACTATGTCTTGCAACAGGAATCTGCACCATGCCACACAAGCAGGAGGATCCAGTCATGGCTATCAGACAATTTCTGCACGCACATTACCACTTAGATGTCGCAAGCTAACTCCCAACACTTTGATTATTATGTGTGAGGCGCTGTTCAGCGAGAGGCTAACAAAACTCCTTGTAACATTAAAAAAAGAACTGAAGACAAGGATTATGGGAGCATTCACCAACTTAAACAAGGAGACCGTCCGGAAGTGTTGCAGAAGACACAGAAGTAGTCAAGAGACTGTGGTTAAAGCCAATGGCAACTGTAGTGATAAAAATTACTTTTTCCATTTCAAGATATTTCTGTGTAATTTATGTCAGTGTTATTTTCTAAATGAAAATAACACTGACATAATATAGACGAAAATTTATCCATAGCACCCTGCGCAGTATATACATACATACATACATACATATATATATATATATATATATATATATATATATATATATATATATATATATATATATATATATATACAGACGAAGGGTACTGAAACTTTTATCCTACCATGAATTTGATTTTTGTTTCGTTATTCAGTTTTGAAGAAAGAGAACGGACTAAAATTACTCAGACCCTCCTCGTACAAACAGATAGATAGATAGATAGATAGATAGATAGATAGATAGATAGATATGAACAGAATGTGATAGATAGATGTGAACAGAATGTGATAGATATAGATAATGATAGATAGATAGATGATAGATAGATAGATAGATGAATGATATGAACAGAATGTGATAGATAGATAGATAGATAGATGATAGATAGATAGATAGATAGATATAGATAGATATGAACAGACTGAGATACATAGATAGATATGAACAGACATAGATAGATAGATGAATAGATAGATGATGATATAGATAGATGAATGATAGATAGATAGATATGAACAGACTGAGATACATGATGAGAACAGACATAGATGAATTAGATAGATAGATAGATAGATAGATAGATAGATAGATAGATAGATATGAACATGAGATACATAGATAGATGTGAACAGACATAGATAGATAGATAGATAGATAGATAGATAGATAGATGAACAGATGAACAGATAGATAGATAGATAGATAGATAGATAGATAGATAGATAGAATAGATAGATAGATGATATATGAACAGACTGAGATAGATAGATAGATATGAACAGACATAGATAGATAGATGAATAATAGATGAGATGAATAATAGATAGATAGATAGATAGCATTTTGGAAAAAAAACATGTTTTTGATGTTCCGTTATTATTATTATTATTATTATTATTATTATTATTATTATACTACTACTACTACTACCATTGTTATTTGTTTATTTTGTTTATGTAACTAAGCAATGACCATCTCGTAAACTAAAACCATCCACACACACGCGCTTACAAAGACCCACAAACGCACACACACACACATATATATATAGAGAGATAGATAGATAGATAGATAGATAGATAGATAGATAGATAGATATTATCATTATTATTATTATTATTATTATTATTATTACATATTCATTTACATTTTCTTAGATATGAATTTCGTGGAATTCTATTCACAGGTGAGTCTTTTACATTATTTCATTAAGTTTGGTGCTGTCGGGTATAACATCATCACATGACTATCAAAGTCGCACTAAACTTTTGACAGACTGCAGAAATCATGACGGTAACAAAGAAAATCCTGATGAAAACACAAAAGCTTTTACAAAACTATTCCGCGGTTCAACCTTCTATATGGATCCGAATTCTGAGTCATATACTTTCCTCAGTTGGTTCGGAAAAATGAAGATATAAATCTGTTTAAAAATTTTATTGGAAATTATTTCAAAATGTTTATTTATCCGATGAGAGTTTTTACCTACTACTAATTTTTTTTTTTTAATCATTTCACACCCGGCAAGACAATAAAGCCACTAAGACGCAAGGGGTTACTGAGTGTTAAAGTGCCAGGGAATATGATAAACAAAAACTACTATTAAGGAGATAGAACAAAAAAAGAACATGAATTAAGAAGACAGAAGATAACGATTGACATTGCATTTAAATTTTTGAAGATCACAGTTGATTGAGAAAGAAGAAGCTAGAAGCGAGTTCCACACGCAAGATGTGTGATAGACGAAACTAATTGGATGGAACGTACAGTTTCAGCTAACCATTTCAATGGATATGCTTTTTGACCATTGACTGGATTAATTATTTTTATTCTTTATTAATTATTGCAGCTGAGAATGCTGCTTTCGACGTCTATTAAAAGTTCATTATTTTTATTCTTTAAAATTTGTTACTGCTCAATTTAAGATATTAATATTTCAGTAAATGTTTATTAATTATATTAATAAACAAACAGTTAAATGATGTGCTGCGCCAGGGAATTTTTCTCCCCGGAATCGATCCTTCAGATCTACAAGTCAACAAATCGCCCTTGCATGGAGTATTGCTGTCATATATGGTCTGGAGCCCCTTCTGTTTGCCTCGGGGTTCTTGATAGGCTCCAGAGGCGGAAATGCAATATAATTGGCCCTGTTCTGGCATCTCATCTACAGTCGCTCTCTCACAGACGCGCCGTCGCCTCTCTCTGTCTTTTTGACAAATACTTTCATAGTAATTGCTCCGAGGAGCAGCATTCGCTGGTTCCCAGACTTCAGGAATTCAAGCGCCCTACGAGACTGGCATCTTGCTCTCACCCTTTCACTGTCGAAACTATTAAATGTAACCGTCTCTTCTACTCCAATAGCTTCATGTCTCGCACCTCTCGCCTGTGGAATTCCCTTCCCTATTCCTGTTTCCCTGAGAGCTATAATCTCCAACTATTCAAATGTAATGTCAATCGACATCTCCAGTTGCCTTGATCTCTCCACTATCCTTCTCCTCATCCTTTCCTCTATCACTCCTATCTGATCTTGCTCCAAATCTTCTGTAACCCCTTGCGTCCTAGTGGCTTCCCGCCTTGCTTGGGGTGAATCGCTTAAAAAAAATCATTAGCGTAGTCGTTAGAATTCTTCGTTTTCGGAGTTTCTGATAGTTCTTGCTGATTTATTTATTTCTATTCCCTTTAAGAGAACATTACAATAATTTTCTGTGTCCGTTCTTAGGATTATTTGCAAGTTCCTTACAAGGCAAATATAGCGAGTGTTAGTTATTCTTGCTTAACAGTTAGTACCTATTACGCTTTGATCATTACTAAACTTTTTAAGATGTCCTCACTATTCTTCTTTAAGATTTCATTACAATTCTTTCAAGGAGATAATGACTACTATGGGGTAATAGATAGCGTCTCGGATTGAGGAATCAGTGAACCGCGTTCGAATTCCAGTCTAGATAGTGATATTCACTTTCGGTACATTTTCCAACTCTTCTCCCCCGACCACCAGCTATGGTTAAATAGCAGTATAGACTGGGTCCTATAGCTTTGGATAGCAACCGGTATAGGAGAAAGACACCTGTGAATTCAAAATCTCACCAAGCGTGGTGAATACAGCTCCACTCCTAAAGTCATGGTGGATCAGGGAACGATTACTTCAGGGAGTAAGAATTAATTTTCATCACTGATACCTTTTTTTTTTTAAAGTTTATTAGCATCGTTCATTCCATGATTAATTTTAAAGAGTTCATTATAAATATTATTTTTTTAATTTATTTTTATTCTTCTAAAACAATCCAATTTTTAATCCTAAATCCAAGCCTTCTCTCTACTGTTATAAGAAACCCTGCCTGACTGACCATGTCTTCAGGGATGTAACCGTACACATCGCGCTTAGCAAATTCACCTTTGGTAAAACTATTTAACCCATACATGTGGTCGATAGTCGTTGACCTATCCTAGACGTAATATTCAAATCTTAGATATTATGTTGAACCCTTTTATATCAGTTATGTAATAAATACATTTAGCACTCTAAGTCATTTTTATAATCCCAGATACTTACATTTAAAATATTTTTCCATCCTTATAAAACACACTGTATATGGACGTATCTGGTAAATTACGAATACTGACTGAGTTTGTTTTAAAGTATGTCAATGGCAAAGTTGACTGTTGTATGGAACCCGGGAAATCAATTCCTATCTCTCTTCGTATAGCTTCATTCGAAAAACTGAGGGTTTTAAGGAAAATCAACAGTATTTGAAGCACAGCATAATACGACCTGACAATCAGTGTCATGTTGGAAAGAAAACCACAGCACTACGGGCATTTCAAAATTAGTGATTATATGAAATAAGCTGGTAAGAGAAACACGCACACCGGAGTGTCGAGGAAGTCATTTTGTTAATGTAATCATCAATTCTCGTGTGACTTCGTATGTGACTTTGCCGAATTGCGCGCAAATTAAATCCGCTGGCTACGCTGCAGCCCGAATATACAACCAATCAGAGTCCAGGATCTCCATACTAACTGGGTCGCTTGAGAATAAGAATATTTATTTCTAATAAAATCGGAAATAGTGTTGCATATTGGGATATCGTTCACTGTTTAATATACATAACACTGGGCAACAACTGGTTTACATCAGGGATTATTATGCAGTGTATTATACGTACGCTGATTTTAAAAAAAATAATAATATCAATTACAGTTTCTCTGGTGAGATGTGATGGTCATAAAACACCAAGCAGCCGCATCAACATCCGTAAAAGTCTTATACAGGTAATTGCTTATGTGTATTTTATTATTAATTGTGGTTATTATAAAGAAACTTTTCTGCCTGCTATCAATGTGGCTGACGCTAGTCTCCTAGAGAGCTACACACATCCCCTTTTTGACCTCACATTTTCAACTGACCTTTTCTCTCACTTCCCGACTTATGAACTCCCTTCCGTTTACAGATAAATACAATCTTCAAAAATGTAAATGCAACATGAATCGCTATCTTCTATCTTCTTGAATACCGTTCATCTTTTGTCCTTTCCTCAATCCTCCCTATTCTCAGTCTTCTCTTTCATTTTCACTTCCTGTAACCCTCTACATATTAGTGAATCGCTATCTTCTGTCTTCTTGAATCCCGTTCATCTTTTGTCCTTTCCTCAATCCTCCCTATTCTCAGACTTCTCTTTCACTTTCACTTCCTGTCACCCTCTACGTAATAGTGAATCGCCATCTTCTCTCTTCTTGAATCCCGTTCATCTTTTGTCCTTTCCTCAATCCTCCCTATTCTCAGTCTTCTCTTTCACTTTCACTTCCTGTAACCCTCTACATATTAGTGAATCGCTATCTTCTGTCTTCTTGAATCCCTTTCATCTTTTGTCCTTTCCTCAATCCTCCCTATTCTCAGTCTTCTCTTTCACTTTCACTTCCTGTAACCCTCTACATATTAGTGAATCGCTATCTTCTGTCTTCTTGAATCCCGTTCATCTTTTGTCCTTTCCGCAGTCCTCTTTATAATCAGTATTGTCTCTCACTTTCTGCCGTATCCTTAAGGTGGTTACAAACAGACAAAGTGATTCTCGAGTGAAGGAACAACAACACGCGAGTAGATGAAAGAAGAGAGGTTTATTGTAAAAGAGAATACATTACTAAAAGACAGGGAATCGGGTGGCAGGCTTGTAATTCCTGAAGCAAACGCTCAGGTATATCATGTGCTCACTATATATACCTACTGATATAATCAGTCCACATAGGCGAGTGGGAGTGTGTGACATTCCATTACAACACTTTCACTCCCTGTAACCCCTTGCGTAATAATGAATCGCCATCTTCTCTCTTTTTGAATCCCGTTCATTTATTGTCTTTTTCTCAATTCCCCCTTATACTCAGTATTTTCTCTCACTTCAATCTCTGTAACCCCCCCCGCCCCTGCACACTTGTGGCATTCCCGCCTTGCTTGGTTGAAATGATTAAAAAAAAGTATCCGATTTTATGAATTATTAATGTTTTATGGTTTAGGCAAGCATTTTCACAAAATGTTTCATTAGCCATATTTGGTATCTCCATAAGTTTTCCATTTCCTTTCAGTATTTCTCATCAGTCCAGTTTCGCTGTCCAATCATCAACATCTTTATCATATTCAGCATCATCATCATGAATCTCTATTCAAGATATCCAACATTGCAATTACAGTCCTGGTATGTTTTGTTATGGCTGTGGTTCATTTAACACCAAAACTCAGCAACGTATCAGAATTGAAATCGAGAAGATCTGCCAGCCGTACTTTGGATGCCCTTTCGGGAAACAAGATAAGAGTTGGGCGCCAAATATCATCTGCTTAGCTTGTTCTAAT